ATCAAAAGGATATTAATTATTTGCCCAGTTTGCGATTGGTCTTTTAATGCTGTTTATAGTTTCTTTTTTCTCTTTAGAAATTTAATTTTTTAATTTAGACAGTCTTTTTTGACTTGAGTTTCATGTCATGCTAAATGGAAAGGTCTTTTCTACTCTAAAATCAGTGAAATAATCTTCTTTTTCTTCCAGTACTTTAGTAATTTTATTTCTTTAGGATTTGCCAGCAGTGCTGGTGTTGGAGCCTTAACATTCCTGTCAAAAAGACTGGGGGCGGGGAGAAACCAACAACCAGAATTTCATTCAGATAGACCTGGATTTAAATCTTAGTTCTGACATACTTGTTTTGTGACTTTGGAAATGTTACTTAAAGCCTCAGTTTTTTCAACTGAAAAATGGGGATAATAGCCATCTCTCAGGATTGTTGTGGGGATTTAATGACACAAAGTATATAAAGCACCTAGTAAATTTTTAGCTCTGAATAAAGGGTAATTATTATTGGCATTACCATCATTCTCCCAGCTTTGAATCCTTTGTCATTAGAAGCCAATACCTTTCACCCCCTTTCATTTGTTCATGTTTTTGTTCAACAAACTCATGTGTCCCCTTTGTGCTTACTTCTGTATTAAGGGCTGGTTAGACAAAGTAGAATAAGACAGTTTGTGCGCCCGAAGAGGACATAGTCAATGAGAAAAGGGAGAAACAAAGAGGTACGCAGACAATTATAAAACTGCAATCAGTGGACAAAGATAGTGGAGAGTATTGTAGGGAGTGGTTAGGGAAGGCCACCTGGAGCAGATGCTGTCCAAGAAGGGACTGTTTGAGGGCCAGAGGTGAGAGAACAGCAAGTGCAGTTCACAAATAATTCCATGTAACTGGAACATCTGGGACCAGGCAAGTCAACTAGCCAGCCTCCAGGGGGAGAAGGAGACTGGTGGGGAGGAGCCTGTGTGGGTCAGCATGGAGAACTTCAACTTTATCCTGAAGGACAAATGGTAAAATTTCTGAATGATTTTAGCAGAGGTCAGATTTATCAAGGTCAGATTTACATTTCCCATAGCTCACTGTGATGGAGTGGGGTGGAGAGATGGTAATGGTGCTATTATCAGTAGGTAGTGGTGCTATTATCTGAAAAAGAATGGGTAGAACAGTTTTAGAGGGAGAAAGTGAATTATTTTAGAGATGTGTTTGAAACAGTTTAGAGATGTGTATGGAACAGCTGCCCGGAAACGGCCCTCAGGCACGTGGCTCTAGGAGGCAGGAGAGAAGGGCTGAATTTTGTCAAATGGCAGTCGCAATTTTGTGAGTGGCTGAGTAACGGGATGGGTAATCCAGCAAGGATCTCCCAAGCCGACAGCTGCAGGCATGGTCTGAGTGAAGTTGCCAGAGGCAGGTTCAGGGCGGCAGGGGGCGCTCTCGGACTGGGGGACATGGAGCAGGAGACTGCTGGGGCGCCACAGCCCAAAGATGATAATAAGCCAGATCTAAGAGCGTGCCAGGGAGACCAAGCTGAATCTGGCAGACACTAAAGAGTCCTCTGAGGTTGGACTAGTGCCTCCGATCGGGGAGACAAAGCAGGGGAGCTGAAACTCCAGAGGCCGGGCTCCATCCTCCTGCCCTGGCACTTCCTCCGGGAAAGTCCAGCTTGCTTATCAGACTGGGAGCTGGAGCCCTCCCGGCTCCACGCATTCTCCTGGAGGCCTGACTTGTCCTTGCAGTTTGGCGCTGCCCACCACATCACCCTGAAGAGGGCCCTTACCTGAAGGAGATGCCCGGGAGTGCGGTGTAGGTGGAGCAGGACAGAGTATGGGGTCATTAACTAGGGCAGAGAGCACCAAGATGATCCGTTAGGGTGGGTGTTCCCGAAGAGAACAAGAGGAGGTCAAAATCTGGATAAGACAACAGATGAGACACCATCCTAGGGGACAGACACGCCCCAAACTCCCACCTGGGGATCCTTGAGGGACACTTTCCAGGGACGGGACAGACAACACCCAGGAGAGAGGTTGGCGAATCAGGAGAGCAGGGAAGAGGCACACCACGCCTGGACGGGGGTCTGAAGATCCAGAATGGGCAGACAGCGCCTGGATGTGGGACACTGTGGGCAAGAGAGTGAGAAAACGGAACACAAAGCCCGAAGCAGCCAGGTTGGCAGCACTGCATGGGGAGGAGGTAGTGGAGGCGACTAGAGTGAAACGACTCCCACGGAGCCAGAACATCGGGGCGTGGTGCCCAGGGCAGAGAGGAAGATGGGGACTACGTAGCGGGCCGGAGGAGAGAGAAGTGAGGGAGCTAAGATGGTGCGCGAGGGGTACCAACGTGCAGCTGGGGAAGCCTTGGGGGTGCCAGCATGCCGAGCCCGATACGCAACCCGGAGCAAGGCTTCGGAGTGGAGCTCTGGAGAGGCGATACGGCAATGCCTCCCGGGTTTCCAGACCGGCTGTGACTCCAGTTTAAGGTGGCAGAGCAGAGGCTCAGCCCACCGCCGCCCCCGGCACCCCCAGCTCCCTTGTTTGTCTCCAAGTCCGGCCGGAACCGGCTTCTGCTCGCCGCCGGCGGGCGGGTGCCTGCTCATTGGTCAACGGCTGTTTCCAGCCCCCACTCAGCCAATCAGCGTGTGCCAGTGTTTTCATCTTGGGGTCGGAATAAAAGGGCTGGAATAAAAGGGGGCAGAAAAAGCGTCGGCCGGGCCCGATACACACCAGGAGGAGACGGGTGAGCTGGATCCTGGGGCTCTGGACCCTGGACGAGGGTGCCGGGGGCAGAAGGCGCACGAATGGGAGCGTAGGGAGAAGATATATGAATACGAGAGGGAAAAGACTGGATGGATGAGGAGCCGCCAGAAGGGATGACGAATCGAGGAGGAGCTAGGGAATGGAGGGACCGGGGTCTGTTTCCATGGAAACGGGCAAATTGCCGGGGAAACGACCCGGGATGGGGGTCGCGCAGGTGGCTCGCGCCGCCGGTTTGAACCGGCTTCGCCTCCCATGCGGGGTTCGCGTGGCCGCAGTGCCTAGCGACCTAGACAGCGGCCAATGGTGGGGCAGTTTCTGTGCTGTCAGGCCTATCAGCGGGCCATGGGCGGGCCATTCCGGAGCTAGGTGCGCTGATCTTGTGGTTGAAGGAACCAGCACTGGGGAGGGGTCTCGAGTGCGGGCGGGAGAGCACCCGTCAGAGTCCGAGGGAGTGGCCGCCCTTAGGCATGTCCCTGCCCAGGTGTCGGGACTTTAACGTGCTTCCCCTGCAGGGCCCCAAGCTATGTCAATCCTGCTGGGAGCCCGGGCTAATTCCACGTCTCTGAGCATGCATTAGTCCCTTTTCGATAGCATGCCTCAGTTTACCTCTGCGTGAGCCTGGCTGGAGCGGCTCTCCCATAGTCGAGGGTAGCTTCAGAGGGGTGGCCCAGATCCCGGGCAGGGCTGGGGCTTCCATCGCTGCGCGCACCTGCAGTCCGGGTCGCGGAGGGGTAACAAGCTCCGCGCGCTGCGGCAGTGGCCGGGCTTGGCCGCGCTTGGCCGCCACGACTGGGCAGGACCAGCCGCTGACGCCGAGGTCTGTGCGTAGGTCGCTGAAGAGCCGAAGCCCGGTCGCCTCGCCGAGCTATGGCGCCCACCTTGGCCACTGCCCATCGGCGTCGCTGGTGGATGGCCTGCACGGCTGTGTTGGAAAACCTCCTCTTCTCGGCAGTCCTCCTGGGCTGGGGCTCGCTGCTCATCATGCTCAAGTCGGAGGGCTTTTACTCCTACCTGTGTACTGAGCCAGGTGAGACCGGTGCCTCGGGCTCGGGGTGGTTCCTGGAGTGGGGGCTTTGGGACTGGGTAGGATGGCGGTGAAGACCTAAGTAGCGATATCACCTCTCTGCGCAGCGCCTCCCAGTTAGCAAAAGGCCCATTTGATCCTCACCCAGTCCTGCTGGGTACATATATCATTGTCTCCGATTTGTGGATGAAGAAACTGAGGCTCAGACAGATCTTCTGATTTGTTCAAAGCCACACAGCTGGGGACTGCAATAGATCCAGAACCCCTGAGTTCAGAGTGTGCTTTCTACCACCTGGGAACATTGCTGGACGCCTATCCTCCCAGTGCGTGGCACATCACTTGCCTTGCAGTAAACATGTCACTCCATGACTGTAGAAAGAGGAACTCCTGACTTAGTGGCTGGGGTGTAGCAGGAGAGAGGAAGTGGCTTGGCCTCCACCCCATGGAAGGTTCATCTAAAATCTAGATGTTTTTTAGTCACACCATTATAGAGTCTCTTAAGGGCTTGTCGGATACAATTTCTTGTCTATTTTTTGCTGCTTTATGATTTTCCAAAGGACATTTCCTCCCACAGGCTGTGAGGACATCTCCGTGGCCTTCTACCCCCATGGGATGGGGAAGGGAAGAGAGGCAAGAGAGTATTTGTGAAAATGACACTAGGTCTGTCCTTACCCTTTACTACATTGTTAGCATGCTGAATGTAGGCTGAGGATGCTGGTCTACAGGAAATCTACCATCCCCACCTTCATACTCCCCAACCCAGTTTAAGGATCCTAATTGCTGCACAGTTATTAGGTTCAGCCCGGCAGTGGGACCCAGGCAGCTCCCATTCTCTACCCTCCTACCCTCTTCCTAGGCAACCCTTGATAGGAAATATTTTCCTCTGCCTTCTCACTGTCTCCAGCAGTGACTACCAAATAGTTGAACTCAGTAATGCCTCTCCCCAGTGCCTTTGTCAGCCAGCCCCTGCCTGAGTACCTTTAGATGGAGAGAGCCTAGGCTTGACTCCCTGAATCATACTACCCGCATACCTTTTCTTCCTAGAATTCTTACTTTGGAGGAAGAAAAAGCTTTGAACCAGTACATGCTGCCTGTAACCCCGTGTAGAGTCCTCCCTGCTTCCCTTCTCTGATCTCAGGATATTCTGAAGTGTCCCAGTCTCTAGGGAAGCTTAGCCTGAGAGGTTAAGGGCAGGAGAAAGGGAGGGGATGCACAGGCGCCTGGAAGAGGGCAGAGTATATCATTTAGAACCTTTAGCCCTTAGCCACTCAGAAATATTTCCTGATAGCCTCAGCGTTCTTGGCAGACCTTTCCTCGCATCAGCAAGAAACCTTGGGAGATGGGAGAGTCACTCAGACCTTGTTCCTTAAACAAGCTTTCTGTTCTGCCCAAGAGATGGAAGATTAATGACTCTCTGAAAGGAACAGGTTGGAGTGTTTGGCTCATCCTTTCCTTCCCTCTCTGCTCCCTTTCAGATAGATTATGACCCTTCCTGCTTGCCTCCGTGATGGGCTCTCTCAGGCTACACAGGTTTAAAAAACAGAGAGAAATGTTACCATCCCCAGATGAAGCTTGTAGTATCTTGTCCACACTGGAGGACGGTTGTATTTAAAAAAAATTTTTTTTGGACCCACTTAGTACTGGAAGGTCAGATTCTAGGATTTTTCCTCCAGTTTGTCCACTGATTTAATTTATTTATGGTACCAGCAGTTTTGGAGCTGGTCACTTTATTTCTGCCTCAACCTTGGGTACTTTTTTCTTTTAAGTGGGAAGAGTCCCAGAGATTGTACCAACATAGTGCTGAGTTAGTTTTTAAGCCCCTGAGGCTTAATCAGTCCTCGCTGTAACCCAAAGTGAAGGTGAAAGATCAGGATGTGGGTAGAATATCAACTTCTTAGCCTGTGCCTTTGCTTCTGCGTCTGATTTTGGTTTTTGTGACCGACAAACTTACTGACTCAGCATCCTTGGTGGGCAGGCCTGCCGATTCCACAAAGCTTTATCTCTCTGGCCTCCCTGCTTCTGTCTTCTTGGGAGTCCGAATAGCCTGTTGCCTTTCGGGACCCAGAATGCCCATGCCTGGCATGACTGGGAGTGCCTGGAGGATTTAGGGTCAAGATTTCTGCTTAAGTTTAATATTTTTAAACTTGGTAGATGGCTGAATTGCAGAGAAGCAGTGAGGCAATTTATTGAATTAGACTTGTGAAAAGCTGACCAGTTTACAGCTGATTGAGATGCAAATTTGTCAGCTTTTTGTTGCTTTTAGGACTGATGCTTTGGTTTGTTCTCTTACAGAAAATTTGCCTGAACCTGTTAAAAGGTTCTCAGAACTTTCTTGGGATTCCAGCCAGAATCTGGCCATAGACACAGTTCTGGGTTCCAGCTTGGTGAGGTGGGAGAAGAAAGAGCCTCTTCTCTGTTACCCCCGAGCTCTTTTTGTCCTACCCACTGGACAGTCAAGATTGATGATAGACGCCGAAGCTGGGCATTTTGGCCTTTGCCTCCCCAGTCTCCCTACTGTGGACAGGAGACCAATTGGGTTCCCAGCCTAGGAGGAAAGGGGCTTTTCCAGTACTGTGTCCTTTCGGCCTCTGGATGGCCACTGTAACCACCCCACCTGACCTCCTTCATTTTCTCTGTCATCTGCTGGGGCACTTGGATAGGGTCAGCTCAGAGGGCTGGTGCTACCTGTGGATGTGTCATCTCCTCTTTCATCTATCCTGCACATCTAACCTGTTCAGTAAACATTTATTGAGGTGCTGTGCTGGGGTGCAGAGCCATCCTGGCCCTCAGGGAGTATGCGGTCTACTGGCATCAAATAAGTCATCACACACAAACCTGTATAAGTCCTAGTGGTGGTCAGGATTCCAACAGAGAACAGGGTGCTAGGACTGAGAGTGACAGTGGGGATCTGGTTTAACTTGAGTTTAGGCAGAAGTGAGGAGAGTGAGGAGGGGTGAGTCAAGAGAGAAGGGGGCAAGGAACCCTGAGGTAGAATGCATGTTGAAGAGGAGGGAAAGGACTGAGTGGTGGGAAGGGGCTCTGGCCTGCAGGGCCCTGGAGGGTGCTTGGGAAGACTGGATTTTAATCTCAGGGCAGGAAGAAGTGACTGAGGCAGAGGAGAGTGATCGATTTCACCTATTAGACTCATGAATTGTTGAGGGCTTGCCACATGCTGGATGGGGTAAGGGCTATGAAGGTGAGAGATGTTGCCTCTGCTCAAGGAAGTCACAATCCAGCCCAGCCATGGACACCAAAGCAGACCCTAGGTCTGTGCTCTTGATCACTGCAGTCACTGTCTGTGTGTGTGTTGGGGGGAGCCATATGCCTCACTGAAACAGCAGGAAGCTGGCCCCAGAGTTCTGAGAAGGCAAAGGGGCCGCTGTTGCCCAGGGAAGTTGGGCTAGGTCTGGTCTTCACCAGGCTGGGCCATGGCTATAGATGTGGACAGGAGCCATTCCTGTAGCTTCAAGGCCCTTCTTTCTTATGGTCTCCTCCTACCTCCAAAGGCAAGTGGTTGATAGCTTTTGAAAACCCACCCTTCCACTTTTATTGCTGTAAATATGACCGTTTTCATCCCCCCACCCCCCACAGTTTATTTTGGATTAAAAGAAATTGTAGCGATGGGTAACAAGATCTAAAGGCTGGTGTCCACAGCCTCACGATGTATCACAGAGAGAGGCTAGTGCCCTCGGCCTTCCTCACTAACCCTGCCTTCCTCCTTCCCATTTCATGACCTAATTTTCCTCCCCCACATCCGCTCACCCCCACCTGGCTTTTTTGGTGTCCCATTAAGGTCCTGTCCAGTTTGGGACTTCATGGGAGGGTCTCGAGGGCAGTCGCATTCTCACTAGGTGACATTAAGGGCCACCTGGTATTTCCCCTAATGCTGTGGCAGCCTTGTGCCATCTCCATTCTCCCAGCACTTTTCTCTCCGAAATGCCTCTACCCCAGGCAGTGTAGTGCCAGGACAGCCGAAGGTTAAAAGCAGGATCTTTGGGGTCTGACAACCTGAATTCAAGTCCAGCTTCACCAGGTATTGTCTATGAGACCTTAGGCAACGATTCTCCTGCTCGGAAACTTCGAGTATTATGGTATGGAATATGAGGTAGTGGTGGGAGGGCACTAAGTGACACAGGAACGAATAGCGTTGAATGCAGCAGCCAGTACACACAGGCGCTCTGTGACCACAGCTTGGGGGCTAGGCCCTGGCCTACCCTGCAGGGCCCTCTGACTGTCTGTGTCCTGACTCTCGTTTGCTCTGTCTGAGGCTGACCTCTCACCTACATCCCCCCTGCTGCACTGAGATGCTGCTTCCTGTTGCCGGATAGACTAAGGATTTGAGAGACAGGAGATCCTGGGGCAGAGACCATCAGCAGGGCGGTCCAGGGACCTGCTCCCAGGGAGGAGGGCCTCAGTAAGCAGCCAGTCAGAAGGAGACTGCTCAGGAATTAAAGGAGCCTCCAGCCAGGTGCCCCTTGCTCCCTTGAGCATCATCCGGCCAACTATTCTGGAGGTTCGCCACTTCTTTTGTTTCCCAGGGGTAGGGGGAGCCCCTTTTTGACCCAGGGACATCAGGGGAGCCTGAGTGGGGTCACAGCACCCTCTTTTCTCCCCTGCTTCCTCTGTAAAGATTTTGTGTGTGAGTCTTCTGTGAGTGGGGCTGAACAGTACAGGCATTGTTCTCTCTTCCCTGTCCCTGGGTTTCCTCCTTAGCAGCCTTACGCCCGTGCTCTGCACACTCTGACCACACCAATTCCTGGCCTGTCTTAGTTCACCTTCCCTGGTTGGGCTAGACTAGGCCACTCTAGCCGCCCACTGAGGAGGCATCTGTTTAATAAACAGGTGCAGGTGAGGTGCAGAGCAGACTGGGCTGGGTGAGGGCTAATCTCTAGTCTGGGAACAGAGGGGCACCCTGTGGGCTTTGACACTTCTGGGTGCTTATCTGTTTGTGTCTCTGCTAGCCCACAATGGCCCAGGTAGGAGCAGAGGAAGAGGAACAGCCTGGGTGTGACTGTGTTTAGGCATCTGCTGGATCTGTGATTATTCATGTGGGCTGTTATACTGCCAACAAAGCTGTTGGGCTCACCAAAGGTTTAGTTCTCTTTGGATGAGAGACACTTGTATTGCTCTACAGGCAGACAAGAGGCCGCTCAGACACCCCCACCCCTGGCTCATCTATTGCTGGACATCACTGCCTGCAAGCAGGAGAGTAGGGAGCCAGGTGGCCCCTTTGGCAGGGATTTGTTTAAGAGAAGGCTGGTGGCCCAAAGCATAAGGTCTCTGTTCCTATGTGTAGTGACTCTAGGATGGAGATGGGAGGGACAGATACCCCTCCCTCTACGCTGACCTGTCTCCTCCATGCCAAACCCCCCTGTCTGGTTAATAGGAGTGACCGGATCTCTAAATAGTTCAGATGTTTCCACCCCATCTCCACTTATAGCAAACCAGGGAGATTCTCTTGCGTATATTGCCTTAGGATTTTATCTTCTCTCTCTTGGTGAATACGATCATGGATTTAGGGGTCCCCTGTGGTTCCTCTCTGGGGGAATTGTGGGCAGGTCACCCTGGTGCCTCTACTCAGCGACAGTACTGCCTCACTTCCTGACTCCCTGTCCAGCTTTGGCTCCCTGCTTGCAGCAGCAGATTATAATACCTAGTGCAATATAATGGACTCTAGACCCTGCATAGCCACAGCCAGGTCTCACAAGCCAACAATCCTGGACCCTGGGGCACCCTCTCTACTCATCCACTCTGGCACACCTGTGTTAGTTTGCACATATCTACACACCAACCTGGAAATGGCCATCGCTGTGCAGAGACCCTGTTGTCCCACTTCACATCCAGTTTCTGTTGCTTCTGGCAGAGCTGACATCTGAAACCAGTGCCAACCTTTAAAGCAGCTCTGCCTTCCCAGAAGGTGCCCCACAGTGGGTGAGCAGCTCAGGCCTACAGGCTAAGGCAGTGTGCATGTGTGACAGTTCCAGGGTGGATCCTGATGGGCTCACATAACCCTGTTTGGCGTGTGTTTTGGCTGCCATTGTGGTGGGCCCTCTTTTGAAAAAAACAGACAAAGTAGTGGGCGGGGGTAGAGAGGATCTGGCTTGTTAGATTTTGATTCTGTGGCTTCAGAAGGTTAATACTGTAGCTATAATTTCTTTAAATCATCTGTGCTATCTTCAGCTTGGTTTTCTATGTCCTATTTCCTTTCTTCTCTCTTGGTCCTTTCAGCCATTGCTACCTGATTCCATTGTTTTCATTAATTCAGTAAATACCTGCTGTGCACCAGGACCTGGGGTAGGTGCTAGGGACACAGGTGACTAGAACCCAATCCCTGTCCTTCAGGGCTCTCAGCCCAGTGGGAGACTATGCTCGAATTCATGCTACCACATGCACAGTTATGGAACTCTGCTCCCAGTGACTGCGTCGGTCTCTGCTGCCAGCCAGTTGCACCATTACACCCATCTCGAGCCTCCTGTAATGTAGTAATAATATAGTAGTATGGCAATAGTAATAACTTCGCTATTATTTATTAAGCATTTTCTATGATTGTGTGAGCTCTAGAATGTTATCTTGATTTTCTTATCTTCCTTGAAACTCTAAGGAGATAGATACCGTTGTGAGATTATACCCATTTTACAGATAAACTGAGAAAGAGCAAGATGAAGTCACTTCTCCAAAGTCTTACAAGTAGGAAATAGAGGAATCAAAATTGGAACCCAGAGACCAGGTCCAGGCCCCTCACCTGTGATCAACGGACCCCAAGAGGGCTTGTTGGTTAGAGGTTGGCATATGGCACGATTCACGCAAAGTGCATCCTTTTCCATGACCTTGGGGCAACCCTGAGAGGTCTGGGCAGGCCTTTGCAGACCTCAGCTTTACAACCCTGGCGCCAGAGGACCGCAATCTGGAGGCTTGCAGTTATCTGAAGAGAGGTATTTCCTTGTTTCTCCCAGTGTTACCTTAAATCTAATCAGAGGCCACTCCCCTTTCCGCAGGATTAGTCAGCATCGCTTAACTAGCAGTCTCAGAGAGGAGAGAATTTCTCAGCCATGTTCCTGGCCTGTCCCCCACCCTCCTGCCCTCAGCTGTCACAGCACTTTTTCCTTCTCGTTTTTGTTGTCTTAGTGCTGAGTGGACTTTGGAGAGGGCCATTAAGGGCCAGGATTACAGCACAGGCGCGGCCTCAGGGTATAGCAAACAGGTGACTCCAACGAGAAAAATAAGAAAAGTGCACCTCAGTAAATGAAAGCAAATAAGTTTGGATTATTAAAAGAAAAACCTTTTTCAGGAGGTTCTACAATACAGTGTATGTGGAGGTCGATGCTATGAAAATATGAGGGGAGGAGGTGGTATATGGACTGTATGTTTGAGAAGTCCACTGTGCTTAGCAGTTAAGGAGGCCCACTCACTCTTCTCCAGACTGACAGAGGAGAACCAAGGTATTGCAGTGAGACCAGCAGCTTGTCCTTCCCAGGTGGTCTAAGGTCTGCCTTCTGTATACTGGCTGCAGTCTGTTTTCATGCACAAAGCTGCTAAGAAGGTTCTAGCCAGCCTGGGGCCCCACAGCCAAGGCTGGGTTCTGAGGCCTACTACTCTAGGATGTAAGTGACTCTAGAATGGCAATCCCAACCTGGGGCTCATGGGTGCTTCAAGGGACACATAAAGCCCCCGAAATTACAGGTAAAATTTAGTGAGCATTTTCTGGGGAGCAGGAGTGTAACTTTCCTTATTGGATTTGCCAAAGGGTATGTGACCCCCACAAATGTTAAGAACATCTGTATCATTGTTCTAGGGGGCTTGGGCCAGATGGACAGCAAAGCCTCCTGTGGGGTAGCTTGAGCCCTCATGGGGCCCAGAGCCAGGCCTGCTATTCCCAGTGGGGTTATTCTGAATGTGCACCTGCCCCTTTAATCTTTGGGAATCCTTGCCACAGCCCTGTGATCAGGTTTTCCTCCCTCTGAACACACAGAGAATATCACCAACGGCACAGTGGAGGACATAGCAGAGCTGGAGCATGAGGAGGTGAGCTGGATCAATGGCTGGCTCAGCTGCAAGGCCCAGGATGAGATGCTAAACTTGGCCTTCACCGTGGGCTCTTTCCTGCTCAGTGCCATCACTCTGCCCCTAGGCATCGTCATGGACAAGTACGGCCCAAGAAAGCTGCGGCTCCTGGGCAGGTCAGTGTGGGTGTGGGAGGTGGTCAGATGGACCCTGGGCTGAGTTCCTCACTGTAGGGAATCATGGTACCTGCCCTCAGGTAACTGTGGAGCTCCCTAAATGCCCACCCAGAGTGGGATTTCTACTCCACCTGCCACCAAATCAGTAGGTACAGTGATCCTTTGTAGTGTGCCAATATTGCATAAAAAAGGCACAGGGTGCTAGGCCTGCCTGGGAGGGTCTGGAGTAGCTTGTCATTAAAAACACTGGTTTCCAGTCTTTCTGACTCTCTACTTGTATCAGAAAAAAAGATTTTGAAAATATACTTCTGTTATAAGCACATGGGATTATCAATTATATATGCCATTCTTAATTTTTTTATGTGCTTTGTCATACATATATAAAAAATATAAATTAAAATGGCTAAGATTAAAAAATTATAAAAGTCTTAACATTTCTCCTGCCGCCAGTACCCATGTGAATCATCTTGTGCACCCTCTGGGGTGTGAGTCCCTGATCTATAAAGTTCCAGTTTTGCCAGGATCATTCCACCTAGCAGCTGGCCTCTCAGGTCGCGGCCGCCCCGAGTCAATCCCATTGGAAATGATCATTTTGCAGGGCAGAGGTTTGCAACGAGTGAGACCTGTGACCATGAAGGGAATGGGTGAGGGAGGCCTTGGTCCCCAGAACAGAGCCAAGTGGAGGGAATTCAGGAGTTGCCACTCATCTCACTCTTGCCCAGTGGGGTTCTGTCCATTCCCTGGCGAAGTGGGCATTGGAATCAGGGGAATGGATTGTGCCCTCTCTTGCTTCAGAGCCTTGGGCTTCTCCAGTGGGGAGTGGGAGGGGACAGGGCAGTGTGGTATTTATAAGATTTGGCTTCCAGGCTTGAATTCCTGCTTAGGCACCTATTCATTAGAGACCTTGGAGAAATCAGGGTTTTTTTTTTTCCTTATCGGTAAATGGGGCCAAATACATTCCTTAGAATTGTTAAATAAAATATTGTATGTAAATTTAAGTATCTAAAACATAGTAAATGCTCTCAAATAAAATAACAATATTAACAATAATAAGAAATAATTTGTTATTTCTGCTTGTTTTTAGTGCCTGCTTTGCTGTCTCCTGCTTGCTGATTGCATATGGAGCGAGTAACCCAAACTGTGAGTACGCTTTTCCTCCACTCTTTTGTCAGAGGCTGAGGAGAGTACCCAGAGATGCTCGCAGGCCCACTTGCTCTAGGAAGCTGTGCCAGGCCTAGTGCTCACTGCTCAAGTTAGAAGGGATGCTTGTTAGGCCTTTACCCAGTTATCTCAAATGGGGGACTGGGTAAAAGAACAATTGCACCAGACAGACGTCTGAAACTCCCAGGGTGTGCAACACTCCCATCTCATTGCCAAGCCAAGCCAGTCCCTGATGGTCTCAATGATCCAACCTGAGATGAGTTCTAAGAACTAAGGCCAATATTTTAAAGATGACATAGAAGCCACCTGGTCCCCAACCCTGTTCAGGTGGAGCTGATGCTTCAAGGACTTTTAGAACAAACACTAAAATAGGACTTGGGTTTCACCAAAATCTTAGCCAGACCCATCTACCAATTTCGGGGTACCTGTATTTTTGGTTTGAGTGAAGCAGCTTCTTTAGACCTCTTGCTTGCTGCTCAGGTTAGTGGAGAACAGAGCATGGGGCGGCACCTTTTGCAAGAGCCCAAGCTCCATAAAATAGGCAAGAGGAGAATGAGGAAGAGGTTGTTCCAGCTCCCAAGGTATCTGGCGCTGACCCCCAATGGCTTGTCATTCATTCAGCCTGCATTTATTCAGAGCCTGTGCCTTGCAATGCTCTGGGCTAAGCCCAGGCCTCCCTGAAGCTCAGCTGTGGTTCCCCAATTATGTGCCTTCTGTTTCCTTACAGCTCTCTCTGTGCTCATCTTCATCTCCTTGGCTCTGAATGGCTTTGGTGGGATGTGCATGACTTTCACCTCATTAACAGTAAGTACTGATTTCTTTAAGAAGATCTCAGTTCAGTCATCTCCTTGTGAATTTGAGGCAGCTTTTACTGGCTTCAATTTCCTTGCCTCCCATTCACCTGCATGTGCCTAGACCTCTTAAGCACTAGAGGGCTGCTGAAGGTGAAGCGGCCTGGCAGCACAGCCAATCGTGGCCTCGGCCTCTTGAGCTGGGGAGGTTCTTACAGGCAACAAAGCATGACTCTCAGAGCAGGCCCATCCCTTGCCTGCTGACCTTGGCTTAGGTGCTGAGGAAGCCAGTTCACTAGCCATGTGTCCAGAGAAGGCAGGAGCAGGGAGGAAAAAGCTGCTGTCCACCTGCATTTCTCTTATTTTTCCATGGCAGCTCTGGCTAGTAGTGCAATGTAAAAACAAGCCTCCCTCACCACCCCTAACTGCTGCCTTTGTCCAGAACTGAATGAGAAACTTGGGAGCACACAGGCTGCCTCTCTTCTTGGTTTTCAAAACACCAGGGCACAGAGAGTCTCCCCGTGGATGGAGATGTTTCCTTGGGTTGCTCAGTACCCCCTTAATTAATAGTGCGCCAGAATGCCACAGAATGTGCTCTTTTTTGAGGTAAGGGAAGCTGCAGAAAGGTCCAGGTTGAAGGAAAGAAAGTCAAAGAAAGCCAATAAAAGTTGCTCCCAGTTGAGCGAGAGTGCCTTTCAGAGCTGGCTGTCGGGAAGTAAGAATAATAGACTCTCCGGAGAAATTTCTGTCCAGGAAAGTCTGGCCTGCCTCAGTTTCCCCATAAAAAAGTTTTATAATAATACCTACCATCACTAATTTGCAGGGCACTCCGGTTTCTGATTTCCCTTTCCACCAATGAGTCAGAAGTCATGATGTTGCGGTGCTTTTGTTTAGCTTTGAGGGAGCCTTGGGGACTGGTTTTCTTCTGGTAAGCTTGAAGAGGTGCTAATATCTCCATGACCCCTTGCCTGCGGGCCTCTTAACATCTCCATGACCCCTTGCCTGCAGGCCGTGAGCCAGAGGCCTGGCCAGGCCCAGTGTCTCCTCTGTTCACCCTTCCTACACTTTGCCTTGTTAACTTTACCCTGGTGGGAAGGATTAACTGTCTGGGTCTGGGTCCCTGGAAATGGAATGCTGAGTGGTGTCTGTGTTAGGTGAGAAAGTCATGACACGTACGCTCAGGGAGTGGGTAACACACAGATCTGGGAATTCCAGTTGTCTTGACCTGGTAATGTGAGAGAGATAGACTTTGTACTCTTTAGTGCATTTTTATTTTTATTTTTTTAACCAGGTAGATTAAAAAAAAAACAAATATATTCCCTCCTTCTTTCAAGTAACCGGAGAAAAACAAGTATTGAAATAGTAAGAAATCTGTTAGAACTGTCAAAAGTACCCAAATTCCACTAAGTTGTGTTAATGTGTAACAGGAGTCATGGTTCTGTTTGTTTTTTTTAACAGCGTGAAAATGAACAAGTCTTTCATACAAACGAAAATTAAAACCTTGGCATCACTCCGTTATTTTAGTCACTCTATACCTATGTCATGGCAATTTGGAATTTCAGGATAAAAGACAGAGATGGTGCTTGAACTTGAGTATTTATGCTCTAAGATGCAGAAAGATGCTTTATTGTGATAAAGAATAAGGGAAATGGATAAAAACCACCATATCATGAATCCCCTTTAAGAAAGTCTTTAAAATGAACTCAGAGTTAGTTGTCCAAGGAACCTTTAGGGGAGATTATTAAACGCAGAAGGATTAATTTTCTTTTATTTTTTTTAAACTATGAAACAAAAATATTTTTATTTTTTTAAATGTTTTTAGTTTTAAAAAGTCAGTATTTTAGAAATATGAAGTATAGACTGTAAAATTCTACAAGCCTACCTTTATCAGTTTAGAATATATCTCTTCAGTATTTTTTAAAATGTATATACCAATATTATTCTTTTTTTAAAGAAATATCACTTGCCTTTTTTCGCTTCACAATGTATCTTTTACATCTATTCCTGCCAGTGCTTAGATCTACCTTATTATTTTAAATTCTAGAGAGCTACCTCATTATTAAAGAATCCCATGTACTTCTATAATATAGATATAGCATAATTTATTTAACCATTTTCCTACTAATGAACACTTGGGTTAGTTTCCATTTTTTCCGATTTATGATGCTGCTGAAGTGAACGTTCCTGTACATATATTTCTGTAAAATAAACTCCTGTGAGTGGGATTGCTGGGCCACAGGATCAGCTTGTTTTAAATTTTAATATATACTGTCACATGGTCTTTCTAGAAGATTATACTGTACACTGATATTATCCTACCAGCATGTGTGTGAGAATGCCTTTTCTCCATACCCTTCTAGTATCCTATCATTAATCTTTTAAACATTGACCAATCTGATCTGGTGAAAAAATGCATACCATGATTTTTTAAAAAAATTAATTGTTAGTCACAGAGCATCTTTTCACCTCGTTTTTAAGGTCATTTGTATTCTGTAAATTGCTTCTTTATGTCATTTGTCTATTTTTCTTTTTCTACAGGGTTGTTTAGCTCTTTTTCTGAGTGAACAAGGGATCTTGTCATAGTTTTTAGGCTTCTAGGTGGTCCATGAATAAGCCTTAGGAGGGCCGTGCACTCCTCTGAGATTATATGCAAACAAATTGTGTCTGTGTCCTTTGCAGGTGCATTTTTCTGGGGGAGGGTCCTTTGCTTTTACCAGCCTCTCACAGGCCTGTGTGGAGGCCGAAAGCACTGCAGCGGGAGCATGGGAGGCAAAAGGCTACACAGGCCAAACAAGCAAGAAAACTCAGATTGTCACTTAAAAGCATTTGATTAGCAAGGGATCTGTTTAAGGAAGGCTGGTGCTTGTGTTCTAAGGTCCCCATTCTTGGATCTAGAGGAGGGTTTAGCAAACTGCTGCCCCCAGGCTAAATCCCCAAACCACTGGTGGGGGCGTGTAAACAAAGTTTTATTGGTACATAGCCATGCCCATAGAGAGAAGTAGTTCTACAGAGACGATACGGCCGCAAAATCTAAAATATTTACCATCTGGCCCTTTGCGGAAAAAGTTTGACAGCCTTTGATCTAGAGGCTCCAAGAAGCTACTCGATCATTGTCCCCTGTAGTAAGACAGGGGCTGACACCCACCTCTCACCCCCACATCCTGCTGAGCCCTCTTCTAGTTCCATGGGCCGGCTCCCTAAGCACTTTTCTCTAAGCACTTTTTTAGTCGTCTCTTTCCCCCTCTGCCACTGCCCCTGACCTGATGGTTCTCCTTGGGCATTCCCCTGTCCCATGAGGCCTCAGATAAGGGCTCTCATGGCGCTTCTCTCCAGAACAGACCCTGAAAGGGAATGAGAAGCAGGTCAGCGAGGACGGGGCTGGAGCTCTTAGGCAATATGCTGGAGCTGGCTGCAGCTTCTGCTGAGCAGAGCTGAATCTCGTTTTGACACAGCCCAGGCCTTTAAAAAGCAGAACTGTCCAGATCGGCTCCCAGGGACTTGGAGCTAGGAGCACAATGGCACTTTCTGTTTCTGTCTCCCACCCATATTCTAATTTTGGGGACAAAGGAGTTTTCAGGGTCGCCTTTAGGAACCTTTAAATCAGATCTCCTACAAATGCTTTAGGGCCATGGATAATCACTCTGTGATAACCTAGGAATCTGGAGGGAATGTGTTGCCATGGAAACCCCAATTTGGGGGCTTTCAGAGTTCCAAGGGGTTTTGTGTTACATGGGCTGTGGTATAAACAAAGATATACAGGCACTGTAAGCTGTTACCTCCATTGGAGGAGAGGGGCCTCAAATTGGCAAAATGCCTTTTCCCCACAGGCCAGGATGAGATGACAGATAGGCCTCCCTACAGAGCCAGAAAGGTCTGTACAGATGGGTGATCAAACTTTCCTCTAGAGGATAGGCTCAGAGGAGCAAGGGTAGATCCCATACCAGGTGCGCTGCCTGACAGCCAGAACTGGCTGTCCCAGGTCCTTGCAGCAGACGGCCTGGGCTGGGCGATGTGACTCCTTGGAGGGAGGGTACCAGGTCACTCCATGGTGCAGAGCAGTCTCCGAGGTGCCAAGCCTCAGCCTCTCTGAGGACATTTAGGTAGCACACTTTGATCTGTTTGCTCAATGCCATGCGTTTGTACAACCTTTTAATTCGCTTCATTGGCTGGTGCACAAACACCGGCCAGCAGCTGAGGTGGCTTCTTTAGGCCACTGCCCCATGATCCAGGGCCTGGGTTGCTTAGAGATTGGAGCAAATGCAGCCAACATTGTGGACATGTCCTTTCCACTTCATTACTCTGACCCCTGTCAGTGTGGGCAGGACTGGGAGTTTTGAGCCGAAACTCTTACAGAAAAGTGATTGCAAAACATTGCCAGGCTCCTTGATGAAAAATTTCTCTGTGGTCTTTTCCTATTTGATTCATTGAAGTCTGACTTTGAACCTGAGGAAGAAACAATCCCATGGCAGTTGGGATCTGAGTTTGAAGAGAACAGAATAAATAGCCCTTTGCAAAAACCTAATAGAAAGGGAGGAAAGGATTTGGGTGTAGCAATGAAACAGATATATCTGATGGAGGTTGGAAGGTTAGCATTCCCGCCCAGCTGACCCGTTTCTATACCCAAGCAAGAGTCCTCACAACACCTGACCAGCTCTCTGGGAGCCCAGGTACCAGGTGAGCAGGACTCTCACAGAGCCCAGAGCCACTTCTGCCTCTGTGTTTCTGTCCTGTGCCTTGAGAACCCAAAGCAGTCAGCTGATCACCATTGGCCTGGGAAAAATTTACCCATCAGAGGGTTCTGCATCATGAACTTGCTCCGGCATGTGACACATTCAGAGGCAGACAGAAAGTGTAGTCGGGGCATTGGCAGGGCTGGACCTAGCTGGGAGGGTGGATGAGGTAGCTGAGGGAGTGGAATCCTTCCTCCCTCCCCTTTATCAGTGAAGCAGAAAGGTGACCACAAGGACCTGCTCCTGGCATTGAGTGCTTGGAGCTGCCAGGTTGTTTTGGGGT